ACACATGTTAAGAGTAATGTGCTACTTTCCAAGAATATGAAACAAAATATTTTTCCATAGAATAAATTTACCTAGAGACTATTTGACTCGAGTTCTTTGGCTTTATCCTTTATAGGGCTTGCCGGTAAACCAGTATTATTGCTATTAATACCTGCAAAGGGGGAGAGGGAGGGTATGTCTGGAAATATATAATCAAATGCATCTGTGTTAATTTTGAAGACAAGACACTGAAATACAGTAATTGCACTGCATTTATTTCTAGGTGTGGGACTTCTTTATTCGCCATGAAAATCAACTCGACACCCTATGTCAATGTAATAGAATGCTTGAAACTTTATACACACGGATGTAGAAATTTAAAGGCATGACTCCCATAGCAGCTATAACCCTTGCACAGATGGCATCTAGTGAGCTAGACTGTGCCTAGCCCTGATCTGGTGCCCAGAGTAGGGGAGTAATCCTCTCCCCTTGTATCCTGGTACAGAAATCAGACAGAATTTCGATCCCTCCTGCCCTGCTGCTGATGGACCAGAGCTAGCACCCCCAGCAGCATAAGAAAAAGCTCAGTAATCTGGTCCCCACCAATTTTCCCCAACTGGTAGTTAATTATACTTTGCATTTTCAAAGCACATTTTAAGCAAAGGTTTTCCAGGTGTTTTAATTCATTTATATCTGATATAAAACTACTCACGCCACCTTAATGCAGTAAGGCAAGAGACACCTCGCTCACCATTGAAACAAAGCCATCTCTAGGGAGGAACAAATGACAACAGCATAGGAAGAGGATGAACACCTCCACAGCAGATGGACACTCCAAAGGAAGTGTAGGTAGGCAAAACAGAACTGGGACAGGAACTGGGACAGAAGATTAGATCTGTCTGTCTGTTTCCTGCCCCAGTTCCTTGCCCAAGTCCCCAATCTGTCTGTCTCTCTGTCCACAGTCTTCAGTCAATCCAGACACTCCATTTTCCCTGTCCCCACTGGCTCCCAGTCCTAGTCTGTTTCTCCAAGCTCCTCATCTAATCTGTCTTTTGTCATAGATGTACAGGGTGGTTTAATACCCCAGCCTTTATATAGTCTCTATGGGTGTACTTCTATTATTTTCTAGGCCTCAGGTACAACTTTTTGCAAGGGCAAACCATGCAGTCTCACAACTCTGAGACTCAACTTGCGGAGTATGGTATCTGTGTACTTGCCATGTGTCTCTACAGCGAGTCCAAATGAGTTAAGACTCCTGGTAAAAGCTGTATTCATTTAGGGAGCAATGTAACCAGTAAGTATTTGCAGCAATGAAGGGCATCATTTTCAAAACAAGCCAGCATTTATTAGTCTGCTGGCATACAGTCTTAGATTAGCATGGAAAAGTCAAGCTTCAGTCTTTGTTTATAGTGGCAGGAGCAACTGACCACGGAAATGTAGACCTCCTGTAGTCCATCTCAGTCTCCTACTCCTCTAGACTCTGACCCTGTGTGTCTATCTCCCTGGTCTCTCTGAGCAGAAACCTGTCAGCAAAACAGAACCCAGTGTTGGAATTCAGAAGGAGCCACAGCCTTGCCCCTTCCTGTGCATTTGTCAGAGGAGTTGAGCCAGCCACAGGAGGAGCACACACCTTTTGAAAGGATGCAACGATCCATATCCTACTTCTGTGGGCTTCCTGAGGCATATCAGTCATATTGCCTCCAGGAGCTGGTCTGGCACAGACCTGCACCCTTTGCACAATACAGTCCATACATAGCAAGTTAAGTTATTAACAGGTAGATTATAGAAAAGTAGTTTTTATTAAACACAGAAGGACTGAGACAGATGTTGTAGGATATCAGAACTTTGCAATTCTATGCTTTTGTACATGCAAAAACCAGCACCCCAATGCTGCATTCCTCCTTTTTCCCCCCTCACTTCATATAAATGAACATCCAAATTTAGAAAAGAACAAAAATCTTAATCATTTCATGAGTCAACTCTGTAACAAAACACAGTGTATTTTACCCAAGTGAATGAATGTACTTTGATGCAATCAGTACTGATTACGTCTGAAGAAATTTGTTAGGAAATGACCGACAGCTGCTTACTTTTCTGAATTAATTACTATTACACTGAGTTCTGCACAGCACTTACTCTTTTCTTTTGTTACGCTGAACTTTTTGTAAGTTGTCGCCCCCAATGTATTATTTGTACCACAAACATCTATGGAGCCCAGCCAAGATTGAGATGCCACTGTGTTAGGCACTGTACAAACAGAGCAAGAGACAATCCCTGCCCCCAAAGAGCTTACAATCTAAACTGACACAAACTCAGGGTTGGGAGGAAGGAAATATAACATATATGGGTTTCTCTTTTCTGCAGAGTTAACTTGAGTCTTGCTCCTAACTTGAGTCCCATCCACACTTTACTGGAGCATGGTGGTCCTTTTAACTTCAATTGGCTAGCCAGACAGGGACATAGGCTACTACATGAGTTAGTACAACTCATCGGCTTCTAATGCAGGGATCGGCAACCTTTGGCACGCAGCCCATCAGGGAAATCTGCTGGCGGTCCAAGACGGTTTGTTTACCTGCAGTGTCTGCAGGTTCAGCTGATCGCAGCTCCCACTGGCCACGGTTCGTCGTTCCAGGCCAATGGGGACTGCGGGAAGCAGCGGGGGCCGAGGGATTGGTCCTGCTTTGAGCAGGGGGTTGGACTAGATGACCTCCTGAGGTCCCTTCCAACCCTGATATTCCATGATTCTATGAAATATGATGCCACATGATAGAAGTTCTTTTTTCAGTTGGCTTGTTTAAAAAAATCTAGGAAATTACACACACAAAAAAAATGTTAAAGGATCATTAAGGTTGCAAGGTCAAGCACTCAAATATTAGAAAACCCCAGTATTAAGGTTGCCTGTATAATCTTAATTCATTGTATGCACTACAATGCAGTCTTTTTAATTACACGGTTACATGCTATTTTTTCCACTCTGCTCTACAGGTGGAGAAGGGCTAGCCTGTGATGTGAAAAACGATGTTGTCTGTATGACCCATGCTTCACTTGTTGCAGAAGTTGGAAAGTGTGTAGTGTATAAGGCAGGGGATTACAGGAAGAGAGGGAATGGTCTCATGGTTAAGGCAATTGAATGCCACTCTGGAGAACTGGATTCTCTCTCTGCCTCTGCCACAGAGTTCCAATGTCGTGCTGGGCAAGTCATTTAAATCAAATTTTTCATGGATGGTTACTAATTGTTGTTAGTATATAGGCCTGTTTGTTAGCCTGGGATAGAATTTGGGGTTTGACTTTTGAAACTCTGATATCCTTACTAATGCGTGAGAACAAAGAACAAAGACACTGTGTTACATCTGCCCACAAGCAGATGGGGTGAAAAGAGAAGAGATGGAGTCAAAAGTGTTCCAGGGTATGGTGGAAGTGTAATATATGAGCATATACTGGAAGGCTGCCTGGCTCCTCTCTCAAGTGAGGATCAAGCAACCAGTTAGGAGTGGAGGCATAAGACACACTAAAAGCCAAAGAAAGGCCTGGTCATGTCCAGGGCACAACCTCGCTCCTTACCCCTCTCATGGGATACAAAAAGAGGTGGGATGAAGACCCCAGACTCACAACCCTTCTAAATGGAACATGACCATAAGTTGTAAGGGGTAGGACTAGGTATATTTGGGCCTGCTAAGGAGGAAGAGGTGGGAATGGGGAACAGTGACACAGGCAAAAACTCTGCAGCGTCACTGCTGGGAAGGGAGACATGGGGTAAAGACTCTGCAACGTCAGAGCTGGGAACGGAACACTGGGAAACAGACTCTGCCAGCATGTAGAGCTATGGATATGCTTGCTTGAAACTAACCCCAATAAACATTGCATTGCCTGAACTTCAGACTTCTTGTCTCCTGTGTGACAAGAACCAGGGGAGGGGGTGAAGGGAAAACCCTCTAACAATTGTGTGTTCCTCTTTTTCTGGTTACCTAAGTTGAGGTACCCTGGGGTCTGATTTACAGAAGTGCTGAAAACTCATAGCAGCAACAAATGTCTATGGGCACTGAGCTTTATATGTTCAAAGTGCTATTTAATGGTAGGACCTGATTTTTCACAGTATTTAAGTATCTCAGATTGGGCACCCAAAATTAGTGGATACTTTTGACCTCAATCTCCCTGTGCCTCAATTTCCCTTGAGTAAAATGGGAATAATACCACTCCTTGATCTCACGGGGCAGTGTGGAGGTGTGTATCGTGAAAATAAATTTGTTAGTGTTTGTGAAGCATGCAGATACTGTAGTGATTAATACAACTGAAAAGACACATGAGGACATTAATAATTGTTTTTAAAGCAGGGTTTGAATTTTGTGCAATAAAAAAAAGGCATGAGACCACACACTGAACAGTGAGGAGAAAGCAAATACTGAATAGCTGCTCATTAAGTGCACACCATCCATTCACCATGACTAACTTTCAGTCTTTGCTATAAATTAACATTTTGAAAACTTCCTTCGCAGCCAGTACTCAAAAGTTTTGATCTGTTTAAACCTAAAATCTGAGATTAACTTCGCTGTTTAAGGGTCTTTAAAAAAAAAGTCACAGGGCCTGCAGCCACAAGCTTTGTGGGAGCAAAGCCTGATCCTGCTACTAGTTTTATGTGAAGATCTCTCAGGATTAAGTTGGAGGCAGTCCAGACTGAAATTGAGCTTGTAAGTAATTCATTTTGGCTTATTGACATCCCACATAGAAACTCGACATTAATATCCTGAACTCTGGCAACAACTTCATTCACTGGAACCAACCAGAGGCACTGCTCTAAACTCTGGTGGGAAGCTGCCAGGGTTTGCGAGAGCTGCCATGGCATAACATTACAAATTTCCACTACAACACTGCAATAACACTATTGCATCTTTATGTTAATGTTAACACAGTTCGTTAAGTGAAATGAACATGAAAATACCTCCTGGAAAAAACGCTTTTCCCTCCTACTTAACAACCTTCTCAAGCATAACAGGAAAATGAAGCAGATAAGAAAAATAAATTACCTTCCTTGTATTCTGGTTTCCTTGTTAATTCAGCCGATATCAGATGATTACATTGTGATGGTATGTCCATTTCATGTGATACAATACTGGACAGAAAATATACTTATTAAAATATCAAATGGAATATTATTTATTTAAATATATACATTATGTGTGAGAGAAAGAATTTTGTGCGTAAAAAGGTGCTGGAAACCAAAATTCTGCTTAGGAAAAATGGCTGAGGCAAACAATGAGGAATACACAGTTAAGATTTGCAGGGAAAATATAAAGGTGGTTTTAAAAAATGAGTTGCTATTACCTAAAAAGGATAAGATGGGGTTTTAAAAATATCATCGGGCTGGCAGTATGAGACAAAGTAGGGACCAGTAATGAAATGACACAAATGACTACGGTGATTCAATTAATGAAACAAATGAATCACATACTGAACTTGTTTCAAATGTTTTAAACAAAATAAATAAATTAATTAATTAACAACATAAAATAAAATAAAAACTAGGGATGAACAATTAGAAAGAAAGGAAGCACTTGTAAAAATTATTATTAAACAAATAAAGGAATACTTGGAAAACCTGGATATATACAAACTTGCTTACCTAGATGACATGGCTACCTAGGCAATTAAGAAAATTAGCTAATGAATTTATTGAACTATGGAAATTATTTCCGAAAAAATCTTAAAGAACTGGGGAGATACTGGCAGGATGTAGACAAGCAAATATTGTACTGATTTTCAAAAAAGTAAAGAAGAGAGTGATCCTGGCAATTATAATCCTATAAATAACTTCTATCACTAGTAAAATAATGGAATGTCAAGAAAAAAATCACTAAATATCTAAAGGAGCATGGAACAAAGAATAAATCTTCTCAAGCAAATCTGATTTTTTTATTCTCAAAGAAAAAATAGATTAAGGGAATGCAGATGATAGAAATTTGGGGTTTTACTGAAGGATTTAATACTATTTTATTAAATCTTACTTGAAAATTAATTCAAATGGTCTTGGATAGGAATACGGCTGAAAGACCATAAAAAGTTCATGAGAAATGTATGGCGGAGGAGAAAACTGTCCAGCATAGTATCAAAAAGACTGCCATAAGAACTGGCCTTGCTTAACTTTGTTAATTATCTGGAAGGAGGTGTAAAAAGCATATTAATTAAATTCATACATGATAAGCAGGAAGCAGGAGTTGCAAATGCCATTCGGAACACAGAAATAATACAAAGAGATCTAGAAAGATTAGAAACATAGGAGGAAAACAACAAAATGAGATTCAACTTGCAAATATTCAAGAAAACACTTACCTGAAAAAATGCAACACACACAGACACACACACACACACACACACACACACAAAGAACTCAAAACACATATACTCAACAAAAATATTTCACAAAAGTTTGCAATAAAGGCAATGCAATTTTGGGCTGCATATACAGAAGCATCCATGCAAAGAATGAGGTTAATAGTCCCTCTGTGTATGGATTTAGTTCAACTGATCTGAGTATTGTGTTCAGTCCTTGACACTTCATTATCAGATGAATATGGATAAATTGAGAGTTCAGAGAAGAGTAATACAAAAATGATCCAGGGCAGCAAGATTTATGAATAATAGATTAGGAGAACTACAAATGGCTGGAGTGGCTAAGGAATGATTGTGGGCAGCATATGATAATACTATATAAATATTTTAATACCAAACAGGGAGAGGATTAAGTGAGAGGATCTATAAACAGCAGTAAAGGAATAAAGTTATGAAAGTGAAAATATACGCTGAATATTAGGGACAACTTCCTGACAGTAAAATCTATTGGACTGTAGAAGAATTTCCTCCAGGGAGATGTGAATACCCTTTTGCTTGGGTATTTAAAATTAGACTAGAAATTGTAAAATAAAAAACATTTCTGCATTGTTAGGGAGCTGGTGGTGTGTTCAGCCTTCAAATTCTATGATTTTATCCACACAACAGCTACAGATTTGCCCTACCACCGTAGTACTCTATCATTGTTAACCCATACAGGGACAACATAAAATAATCAATTAGCTAATGGACAGGTTAGTAAATGTTATACTGATCAGTTTGTCCTCTACTTCCACAGTGTAGAATGTATACGTTTTCTTCAGATTGTCAGAGAAATGAATATTGTTAAACAGACTTTTAGCACTCTGCATGACAGACAATATTGTTTCACTACACAACCGTTCTAAACTGCGAAAACATTCCCCTTCAGAGCATCCACACATTTTCTTCTGAAGGTCATCTCCATAATACACCATTATGTGTACTGAACTAGACAACATCCTGCTAGACTTTGAATGTTAATTCATAGCATGTTTAATAGATTTTATACTCTCTTGCTATGATTAACTAAAAGCACTTCAGCACTAATCAGTTCAATGACTAATCTGCACTATTTAATATAAGCAGTGAAAGTAATTCAGATTAATTAGAATGTATTCTGAAAATTGAGGCAGTAAGAATTTCTATGGTGTCCGGCATCTAAAACCTGTATTTTCTTGTATCTATCAACATACCTGAGTCTTTTTCTTGGCCTTCCAATAAAGATGGAGATATAAAGAGATTTATCCACTGGATTTCCCCTGCAATTAGCTCAAATAGTCCCAGATAGAAATGCACTAAAGTGTGTGTTACATACTGCCAACAATCCCCCACCAGAAGACATTAATAAATCCTGACAGCTGCAGCTTGAACAGGAAGAGGTCATATATAGTGCAGTGCTTCCCAGAGAACTTGGTACTCTTACATAAGGGAGGAGGAGATTTCATAACTGCAAGAGGTCTTGTCAAGGTTCCTCCCCCACTCTGAACTCTAGGGTACAGATGTGGGGACCTGCATGAAAAACCTCCTAAGCTTATCTTTACCAGCTTAGGTCAAAACTTCCCCAAGGTACAAAATATTCCACCCTTTGTCCTTGGATTGGTCGCAACCACCACCAAACTAATACTGGTTACCGGGGAAGAGCTGTTTGGACGCGTCTTTCCCCCCAAAATACTTCCCAAAACCTTGCACCCCACTTCCTGGACAAGGTTTGGTAAAAAGCCTCACCAATTTGCCTAGGTGACTACAGACCCAGACCCTTGGATCTTAAGAACAATGAACAATCCTCCCAACACTTGCACCCCCCCTTTCCTGGGAAATGTTGGATAAAAAGCCTCACCAATTTGCATAGGTGACCACAGACCCAAACCCTTGGATCCGAGAACAATGAAAAAGCATTCAGTTTTCTTACAAGAAGACTTTTAATAAAAATAGAAGTTAATAGAAATAAAGAAATTCCCCCTGTAAAATCAGGATGGTAGATACCTTACAGGGTAATTAGATTCAAAAACATAGAGAACCCCTCTAGGCAAAACCTTAAGTTACAAAAAAGATATACAGACAGAAATGGTTATTCTATTCAGCACAGTTCTTTTCTCAGCCATTTAAAGAAATCATAATCTAACACGTACCTAGCTAGATTACTTACTAAAAGTTCTAAGACTCCATTCCTGGTCTATCCCCGGCAAAGACAGAATATAGACAGACACACAGACCCCTTGTTTCTCTCCCTCCTCCCAGCTTTTGAAAGTATCTTGTCTCCTCATTGGTCATTTTGGTCAGGTGCCAGCGAGGTTACCTTTAGCTTCTTAACCCTTTACAGGTGAGAGGAGCTTTCCCCTGGCCAGGAGGGATTTCAAAGGGGTTTACCCAATAGTGCGTAATCTGGACAAATTCATAAAAATAGGATAGCATTTACTAAGGCTGTCACTATCTAGGTCATTAAAAAAAAATTTTTAAAAGGGGGGAAAAATCATTCAAAAGCCAAGTATTCTTCAAAACATTCAGGGTCACATTTAACGCAGAGGTCTGTTTGTGAAATGCATGTACAACTGCATGTCTAAATTTGAATGCACAATTACTACAACTGACTATAAAAACTGAACGCCTGAGAGATTTGTACACTCACCTGTTCAATTTGCAAGAAGCAAATGTAGGCACATAATTGTACATCTTTGTATATAAATTTCAAATACAGAAGATACGGCATTAAGTGCATCTATAAGACTCCACATATCAGAATCTTTTCCATCGTCATCTTCCCCTCCCATCTCTTCCAAAAGGCACGATTATATCAGTGGAGCCACATATGCATGTCTCTGAAAGTTATCTTATTTAGATTGTAAATGCCTCAGGGCAGAGACTGTCTCTTACTCTATCGTTGTATAGCATCTAGTCACAACGGGGCCCCAATCTCATTTGCTTATAGGTGCTACTATTAAAAAATAATCATAAAATGAAATCTCACTAGAACTTAAATAAAGAACAGCAGGATTCTACCATACTCAGCAACAGTAAATACTGGAGAGCGTATTTTATATTTGGGAGCCCTGTCAAACACAACCCACTTAGTCTCAAATGTGAGGCAAGCTGACCACTAGAGCAGCGGTTCTCAAACTTTTTTTTCGTGGACTTGAAAATTACTGAGGGTCTCGGCGGACCAATTAATGCTCTTTTCAAATGTTGTTTGTACCGTTAGCTAACTATTGTAAAGTGCTTTGGATAAAAGCACTATATAAAAAACAATAATTAATTTTTTTCCTACAAATAAAAGCACACAACGCATATTTTAATATCAGTAGTCTTACCTTTCTAATGCGATGGGTGTGCCGTCTCTCCCCCACTGTGGCAGCCCCCCGAGCTGGAAAGGAGGGGGTTCTCTCCCTCTCTCCCCGCCACAGCAGCCACAGAGCTGAAGCTGGGAAGGAGGGCCATCTCTCCCTGACAGCCACAGCCCTGGAGCTGGGGAGTCACCTCTTTCTCTGGCCACCACAGCCTGCAAATCCCAAATTCCCACCACTCCCTCTTCTCACTCCACTGCCCCCTCCCACCTACCTCCATCCCCCAGGGCCACCACCTCACATTACATGTGCATCTTCTCCAGGGTCCAGGCACCTAATTACTGGAGCCACGGCTGCGTGGCTCCACTAATTAGGTGGGTGGCCCTTCATTCTCTTATGTGCAGCCGCCCAGGCACGCACCTTAGAGGGAACTATCCGCGGACCACCTGAATGGAGCTTACAGACTACTGGTGGTCCATGGATCAGTTTGAGAACCGCTGCACTAGAGAAAGATCTGCAGCCACCTCTTTCATCTGAATCCACTCCTGTGGATATATGCTCGGGGTATCAGAACACCTCACTTTCTACAAAAGGTACTACCCAGAGGGGATGGCTTACTGCTGTAAGACTCCTTCATGAAATACTAGATGCCCTGGAACCACAAGGTCAAATCCTATCAAAGTCACCCCAGCCTTTCGTCCTTGGGAGGTAGATAAATAAAGTTCCATGCAGTTCGCTGTATGTGCGTGGACTTCCAAATGATGAAAAGTTAAAACTAAGGCCTTTCAGCTGTACGGAAACATTAAACGGAACTCAAGTTTACACTCAGAACTCTCCCCCAAAAAGGAACAGAGACTCTTAATTTCTGATATTTCCTAGACTTCAAGAGCTTGAAGCACATTCTTCATACCCCTAGAAAGACACAGTTACACCACTAAATTCCTCTTTTCATATAGAGTGACTTTCCAACCAGTACAACTGAGTGGATTTATCCATGTTTCTTGAGGCAGGAATATGCAAATATCTTTCTCCAGGTTATTAGCCCCATTATAGCCCTGAAGTCTTGTATAGCACCTAAACTTCCATAGAATAATACTGAAGTTGGAAAAACTCAGGAAAGATAAATAGGAAAAATAGAGAGGGATGTTTCAGATTGGTAGAGACCTGTTCTACAAGAAGCTAAGGGAAGAAAAAATTGGCTATACTCATGGAGTGGCCCTCACTGATCCAGAGAACTGCTGGGAAGTGGCAAGCAGTATTACAGAGAGGAAAGTTCGGCAGAAAAAACAAAAACAAAAACACACAGTCAAGTTACACCAATATAGATACTCTTACGTTATGGTAAATTAAGGGTATGTCTACACTACGAAATTAGGTCAAATTTATAGAAGTCGGTTTTGTAGAAAGCGTTTTTATACAGTCGATTGTGTGTGTCCCCACACAAGTGCTCTAAGTGCATGTAGTCGGTGGTGTGTGTCCACAGTACCGAGGCAAACATCGACTTCTGGAGCATTGCACTGTGGATAGCTATCCCACAGTTCTCCCAGTCTCCGCTGCCCATTTGAATTCTGGGTAGAAATCCCAGATGGGGCTAAAACATTGTTGCGGGTGGTTCTGGGTACATATCGTCAGGCCCCCCTTCCCTCCCTCCTTCCGTGAAAGCAAGGGCAGACTATCATTTTGCGCCTTTTTTCTTGAGTTACTTGTGCAGACGCCATACCACGGCAAGCATGGAGCCTGCTCAGCTAACCGTCACCGTATGTCTCCTGGGTGCTGGCAGACGTGGTACTGCATTGCTACACAGCAGCAGTTTATTGCCTTTTGGCAGCAGACAGTGCAGTATGACTGGTAGCTGTCATCAATGTAGTCCTGGGTGCTCTTTTAACCGACCTCGATGAGGTCAGGGGCGCCTGGGCAAACATGGGAGTGACTCAGCCAGGTCATTTCCCTTTTAAGTTTCGTCTCATGGTGATTGAGTCCTACCGGCAGTGCACGGTCTTTTAATCAGCAGCCAGCAGAAGATGATGGCCAGTAGTCATACTGAACCGTCTTCTGCCGAGCACCCAGGAGATGACAATGGCTAGCAGTCGTACTACACAGTCTGCTGCCAGCAAGATGTATAAAGAGAGATGAAGTGGCTCAAAACAAGAGCAGATTTGTTTTGTATTCATTTTCTCCTCCCTCCCTCTGTGAAATCAATGGCCTGCTAAACCCAGTTTTGAGTTCTATCTTTGCGGTTTTGAGTTCTACCCTTGAGGGGGCCATTCTGTTTCTAGCAAAGCCACCCCCTTTGTTGATTTTAATTCCCTGTAAGCCAACCCTGTATGCCATGTCGTCAGTCGCCCCTCCCTCCGTCAGGGCAACGGCAGACAATCGTTCCCTGCCTTTTTTTCTGTGCAGATGCCATACCACAGCAAGCATAGAGTCCGCTCAGATCACTTTGGCAATTAGGAGCACAGTAAACACCACGTGCATTATCCAGCAGTATATGCAGCACCAGAACCTGCCAAAGCAAAACCGGGCGAGTAGGCGATGTCAGTGCGGTGACAAGAGTGATGAGGACACGGACACAGACTTCTCTCAAAGCACGGGCCCTCGCAATGTGGGCATGATGGTGGTAACGGGGCAGGTTCATGCAGTGGAATGCCGATTCTGGGCTTGGGAAACAAGCACAGACTGGTGGGACCGCGTAGTGTTGCGAGTCTGGGATGATTCCCAGTGGCTGCAAAACTTTCGCATGTGTAAGGGCACTTTCATGGAACTTTGTGATTTGCTTTCCCCTGCTCTGAGGCACAAGAATACCTAGATGAGAGCAGCCCTCACAGTTGAGAAGTGAGTGGCAATAGCCCTGTGAAAGCTTGCAATGCCAGACATCTACCGGTCAGTCGGGAATCAATTTGGAGTGGGCAAATCTACTGTGGGGGCTGCTGTGATGCAAGTAACCAACACAATCAAAGATCTGCTGATATCAAGGGTACTGACCTGGGAAATGTGCAGGTCATAGTGGAAGGCTTTGCTGCAATGGGATTCCCTAACTGTGGTGGGGCCATGGACAGAACCCATATCCCTATCTTGGCACCTGAGCACCAAGCCGGTGAGTACATAAATCGCAAGGGGTACTTTTCAATAGTGCTGCAAGCACTGGTGGATCACAAGAGATGTTTCACCAACATCAATGTAGGATGGCCGGAAAAGGTACATGACACTCGCATCTTCAGGAACTCTGGTCTGTTTCAAAAGCTGCAAGAAGGGACTTTATTCCCAGACCAGAAAATAACTGTTGGGGATGTTGAAATGCCTATAGTTATCCTTGGGGACCCAGCCTACCTCTTAATGCCATGGCTCATGAAGCCGTACACAGGCAGCCTGGACAGTAGTCAGGAGCTGTTCAACTACAGGCTGAGCAAGTGCAGAATGGTGGTAGAATGTGCATTTGGATGTTTAAAAGCGTGCTGGCGCAGTTTACTGACTAGATTAGACTTCAGCAAAACCAATATTCCCACAGTTATTACTTCTTGCTGTGCGCTCCACAATATCTGTGAGAGTAAGGGGGAGACGTTTATGGCGGGGTGGGAGGTTGAGGCAAATCGCCTGGCTGCTGGTTACGCACAGCCAGACACCAGGGCAGTTAGAAGAGCACAGGAGGGCGCGGTGCACATCAGAGAAGCTTTGAAAACCAGTTTCATGACTGGCCAGGCTACAGTGTGAAAGTTCTGTTTGTTTCTTCTTGATGAAACTCCCCGCCCCTTGGTTCACTTCCCTGTAAGCTAACCACCCTCCCCTCCTCCCTTCGATCACCGCTTGCAGAGGCAATAAAGTCATTGTTGCTTCACATTCATGCATTCTTTATTAATTCATCACACAAATAGGGGGATAACTACCAAGGTAGCCAAGGAGGGGTGGTGGAAGAGGGAAGGACAAGGCCACACGGCACTTTAAAAGTTTAAAACTTTAAAACTTATTGAATGCCAGCCTTCTGTTGCTTGGGCAATCCTCTGGGGTAGAGTGGCTGGGTGGCTGGTGGCCCCCCCCCCACCGCGTTCTTGGACATCTGGGTGAGGAGGCTATGGAACTTGGGGAGGAAGGCAGTTGCTTACACAGGGGCTGTAGCAGCAGTCTGTGCTCCTGCTGCCTTTCCTGCAGCTCAACCATACGCTGGAGCATATTAGTTTGATCCTCCAGCAGCCTCAGCATTGAGTCCTGCCTCCTCTCATCACACTGCTGCCACCTTTCAGCTTCAGCCCTCTCTTCAGCCCGCCACCTCTCCTCCCGGTCATTTTGTGCTTTCCTGCACTCTGACATTGTCTGCCTCCATGCATTCGTCTGTGCTCTGTCAGTGTGGGAGGACAGCATGAGCTCAGAGAACATTTCATCGCGAGTGTGTTTTTTTCGCCTTCTCATCTTCGCTAGCCTCTGGGAAGGAGAAGATCCTGTGATCCCTGAAAACACATGCAGCTGGTGGAGGAAAAAAAAAAAGGGAAAGTGGTATTTAAAAAGACATTTTATAGAACAACGGGTACACTCTTTCATGGTAAACCTTGCTGTTAACATTACATACGTAGCACATGTGCTTTCGTTCCAAGGTCGCATTTTGCCCCCCTCCCCCTCCCCGTGGCTAACAGCGGGGAACATTTCTGTTCAACCATAGGCAAACAGCCCAGCAGGAACCGGCATCTCTGAATGTCCCCTTAAGAAAAGCACCCTATTTCAACCAGGTGACCATGAATTATATCACTGTCCTGAGGATAACACAGAGATAAAGAACAGATGTTTGAACACCAGCAAACATACACTGCAATGCTTTGTTCTACAATGATTCCTGAGTACCTGCTACTGGCCTGGAGTGGTAAAGTGTCCTACCATGGTGGATGGAATAAAGCTACCCTCCCCAGAAACCTTTTACAAAGGCTTTGGGAGTACAGCCAGGAGAGCCGCAAATGCCAGGCCAAATTAATCATTAAACATGCTTGCTTTTAAACCATGTATAGTATTTTAAAAGGTACGCTCACCAGAGCTCCCTTCTCCGCCTGGCGGGTCCGGGAGGCAGCCTTGGGTGGGTTTGGGGGGTACTGGCTCCAGGTCCGGGTGAAAAACAGTTCCTGGCTGTTGGGAAAACCGCTTTCTCCGCTTGCTTGCTGTGAGCTATCATCTTCCTCGTCCCCAAAACCTGCTTCCATGTTGCCTCCATCTCCACTGAAGGAGTCAAACACGGCTGTGGTAGTGGTGGCTGAACCCCCTAAAATGGCATGCAGCTCATCATAGAAGCGGCATGTTTGGGGCTCTCACCCGGAGCGGCCATTCGCCTCTCTGGTTTTCTGGTAGGCTTGCCTCAACTCCTTAAGATTCATTCGGCACTGTTTCGGGTCCCTGTTATGGCCTCTGTCCTTCATGCCCTGGGAGATTTTGACAAAGGTTTTGGCATTTCAAAAACTGGAACGTAGTTCTGATAGCACGGATTCCTCTCCCCATACAGCAATCAGATCCCGTACCTCCCGTTCGGTCCATGCTGGAGCTTTTTTGCGATTCTGGGACTCCATCATGGTCACCTCTGCTGATGAGTTCTGCATGGTCACCTGCAGCTTGCCACGCTGGCCAAACAGGAAATTGAAATTCAAAAGTTCACGGGCCTTTTCCTGTCTACTTGGCCAGTGCATCTGAGTTGAGAGTGGTGTCCAGAGCAGTCACAATGGAGCACTCTGGGATAGCTCCCGGAGGCCAATACCATCTAATTGTGTCCACAGTACCCCAAATTCGACCTGGCAAGGCCGATTTCAGCGCTAATCCCCTTGTCGGGGGTGGAGTAAGGAAATCGATTTTAAGAGCCCTTTAAGTCGAAAAAAAGGGCTTTGTGGTATGGACAGGTGCAGGGTTAAACCGATTTAATGCTGCTAAATCCAACCTCAAGTGTAGACCAGGGCTTAGTTGGTCTTACGCAGAGTTGGCCAAAATTTAGGGATTTTGGTTTGCATCTAGCTGGGATATGTTGCTCCTGAAACAAAACATGAAATTGGAATTCTTGTCTATTCACTGAACAGTCATGAAACAGAGAAATATATTCAATTTCTATTAGCTACTAATTGGCAGGGAATATTCCAGCTTTGGGAGTCCCAGTTGGAAGCTCCAGCCACATCTCCGGAGGCTAGGCTTTTGGCCACAGAGCTGTCCTGGCTCAAACAGGGACTCATAGGGCTGCTACCTCAGAGTGGGAAACCTGCCAGCCCCTATAACCCTGTCTAAAGGGTCTGAAAGGCTCCTTGTACTACAGCAGGGAGCCTCCCAGGACTCCAGAGACTGGCAGGCATCCTGAAACACCAACAGGGTGTTTTCGTCGAATCACTGCCTGCATCATTGTCAGTGTTTCGTCTTATGTAAGGTCTAATGGAGTCTAAGTTTCCCATCACCTCTGAATTTGGACAATTTTTGCCCTTGGACATGCTCAGATGACTCCCATGACTTCAAAATGGGAGTCATACACATTGTCGTCAGATGTTCGGCTGCATGTGTTCTGTGTGCCATCCCAGCTCTGCGCAAACAGCTGGCACAGCAGACCTCGAGCAAACCGCCCAATCACCACAAGATCCATTAAGGTATGAAGGCACCTGGCCAGGTTTCAATGTCTACAGTTACATTAGCACATGTATCCCTGTGACAATGGACACAGCTCAGTGAATGGCAGGACTTTCCATTCCCCCCTAGACTGGCCAGAGATACTCCCTTTGAGGCTCCATTTTATACATCAACACAAACTAGTTATGTACTGCTCCTCTGGCAGAGTTAGTTGACACCCTCTGACGTAGTCGATTACGACCCATCATCTTGTACATCTCTATCCATCACACAGTGTCCTGATCTTATCTTTAGGACGGGTCAGTGTATTCTTGTTATCTTTAGGGAATGTGCTGGTATCGAGGTGTTTTGGTACCATCCTTCTGGAATTTGTTTGCATGAGTGCTCTGTGTCTAGCATCTCTTAGGAATGTGTATTTTGCAATATCAGCGCTTTTCTTGTCAGATTCTGTGAGCCGAGCTTGCCTCTAGCTCACAGCCTGATTTTGCTTTATATGAGCAAAGTTTTGACCGCAACTTTAGCCCAGGCCTCTGATACAAGGGCTTATGTTTCAGTCCCTCTTCCTCCTACACACATCTGAAGGCAGAAAGTATAATTTAAGATTAATATTACAAGAGATTATTTGTCTTTGGATTCTTTAAATTCTCACAGTGCTGCCATTTCCCTCTTCCATTACCACAGGATTCTATAGGTTTTTTTCACCATGAGTGATGTAGTAAACAACAGACTTGGAACATGAAACTTTTGAAGACAGGCAGACCGAAGAGGATAAGAGAACCAAAACTGTCTGAGCTTATTTTCTTTTCCCCCGTACTCCCAAATTCTGTACATCAGGTCTCAAACTTCACTGAATTGTGAAGTTGATAGATGGTGACGTAATACAACTATCTCACTTCCTAGGAAATAACACTGACATGTCATCGTTAGGCCCAATTTTATAAAGTAAATCGGAGTTTTTCCTGAGTTATTTAATGAAAGCTTTCACTGAATAAAAAGACCAACACTGGACCTTTTGAATAATTGTCCTGAAAAAACTGCAGTTCAAAATTGCTAAAACTGCCTCTTATTTAAAAAGTCTAGTCAAAATGTCAATACAATACACAGAAGAAAAAAAAAAAAAAGGGATAATTTACGTTTATTCTTTTCTACCAGAGAATTCATTCGAGTATTTACAGATGAAGACTTGATCATAAACAACGCCCCCCCACACACAGTTAGCACTTTTTCTTTTTTCTTCCTCTCATATTCCATGATTTTCCCTTTTTGCCCTCAAACACAGATCGGGCAGTCACCATGACTGTGTTTTCTTCATCTTCACCCTCACCACTTGAGCTACTAGTCACGTCTTCCTCCTGTCTCACTGCGTTTTTCTGAATTGCTGATTCCTTGACAGTTTTTCCTCTTTTGCTCTTATTTAAAACTTCACTTTCAGAATCCTCCCCTGAAGACCCACTGGATCCTTCTGACAGCTGCACCTCACCAATGAAACCGCCTCCATGGAAACTCTCCTCTTTGGACTTTGAATGTTTTTTCCTTTTTATCCTTTGGCTTTGTGCTGCAGTAGAGAGATCCATTGTACCTTGGACAGCTCTTTTTCCTTTCCTTTCCTCACCGTGTTTAAATTCTCTTTCTACAACAGCAGTAGCCTCCTGAATTTCATCAGTTACTGCTTCTTTTTCTTTCCTCCGCATACAAGTCACAGCTCTTCGAAGTCTCTGGCTCTTAATGGCTTGCTTCTCATGTTGTGCTAGTCTGAAGAATGAATCAATTCGAAGTTGAGTCTACAAGTATACACAACAATTAAAGAGGTGAAGTTTAGATACCATGGTGATAGGCATTCTATAAATAAAATAGATTATGCAATAGTCTAAATTGGTGTAGAACAAAGACTGCTCAAATAAATGAAATATGAATCACAAGAATATACAGAGTACAAGATGATTTACTAGAAGAGATTAGTAATTATATTACTGTGTAATTACTCCGTAAGTTTTAAAAGCTTCCTTACAGCAAGAAACACTACAGCCCTATTTAAAGAAACAAATTAATGGTTAAGGAAGCAAAATTCCCTGCACGTTTTACAAATACTGTGTTTATGCTTTTAATACGTTATTTGAAGTTACAGCACAAATGAAGACTCCCAGACCTGCAAACACACTTACTTATTAGCATATTCTCAAATGCAAATCTATTAACATAATAAAATGATTACTTTACTAAATAAACCCTACAACTATGCTTTTCATTTGCACAAACCAGTGAAATAAAATGTTATTCTCATTGATCAAATGAATTGAAGGCTTACTGCAACATTTTAAGCCTTACCTGCAACCCTTTTGAAAGAGTCACTTAAGATTCCACATTGTTAACAGTGTGTGTGTAGATCTAAAAGTCATCAGTATATTTATGTTATAAAACAAGAAGTATTTTAAAAGCAATTCCTCTATTTATCTACCAACTCCTATATTCAGGGAGCTGCATCTCCCTGCAAGAGCTGATGAGATTACTAACATATAAAGCTTTATAGAAAATACAGTACAAACTCATTTAGCCAAACTGTTTGAGAGAACATTTAAAAACATTCAGACGGATCAGGTTTTACATGAATGGAAGACTGGCAAGCCTGCTTTGAAAATCCTAGAGGAGCCAAGCTTCACTGCACCAGAAGTAGGGATTAAATGGGGTTTACCTATGCTGCTTTAGGAATCTGTAATATCAGCTACTGCAGAACAAACAGAAGCCTGAACTCAGGAGTTGACAGGCAGAAGAACCATTAGATTTTACTAATTTACAGCATTTAAAATTATACTAAAGTGCTTCACAGCACACAAACTGTACAACATTTATGCCCAAAAGAATTTACAATCTAATGTTATGTCATTTTAAAAATATATTTACTTACAATTTTAATATCTATATGCATAAGGCCTAATTCCATGCTGACTTACAACTTGTGACAGCCCACAAGTTCAATGGAATTGCAGGGGTTGTAGTTCAGCACAGAATTTGACCAAGAGTCTGTTAAATGATTTAGGTTTGTAATATACTTTTTGTTGAAGCTTTGTTGGTTATTTTAAAAATACTAGTTTTTAAATTTTCAAGCTAGCCTTAAACAACATAAAATCCTCCAGTAACATGCTTACCTGTTGTGAGTTCAGCTGTTTAAGTACAGGCAAAAGGGCTTCATCTGTCTTTGTCCTAGTCCAGCCAAAGCAACTCTGACAGAATGTGTAGGCAGTTAAGGTTCACCAAAAATTTAAAAAACGTTTTACTACCAAAAGTATGAATGTGAAAAATGGAAGTTCCTTACCTAACCACGCATCTCCAAAAAAAAAAAAAAAAAAAAAAAAAAAGGATACTGTACCTAAAAGTTTTTTCACTGTAAGATCAAAGGAAATTTCAAGGTTTAATAACTATCGCCAGTATTATCCCAAATGTCTTCAGAAAAGCTTATTCTTTTCTATTATTCATAAACTGTGTTTCAAACAACAAAAAGATCCATCTGGCTACATCCAATATTGTTGTAAAAATATGTTAACCTTAAGAAAAGAAAAAAACCTCCATGTTTGTATATACACCGGAGGCTTCATTTAGTTAGCTAACTATGGATCAATTACCATCCATTTTTAGACACAGTGCTGTATCTCAAATTGCAATCAGTGCAAGAAATACGTGCACTGTGGCAAGGGAGTACAAATAAAGTGAGGATGGAATCACTGATTTTGTTTGCAGTTTACGTTTAGAGTGAAATCCTCCTCATCTTACCTTTGCTTGAAGTGAGTGAGACTACAATATCACTCCTCATGCAAGTGAGACAATCAGAGTTTGATTCTCGGTTATTGAATTTACTAATAGACTCATGCATTCTTTTCTATCAAAGCAACTTTGGTTCACAACTCCAACCAGATAGGATTGTAAAAAGATATTCTCTGATCTGTTCTACATCAGGCCTTCCCCAGATGAATGACCCCTTTGACTCATCCACCACAGGTTTCAGGTAAGCTTTTACTACTGCTGGATTTGGGAAGCCAGGACTCAGCTGCAGTTGCTGCAGTTTTTTCTTTACTTTAGTATCATGTGGATTGGGTCTTATTTTCTTATTCTTCTGAGCTTCAGTCCACCATTCACTGAACAGTATAGGAGGAGAGAGACATACAATTGTTTCAGTAAAATACATTTTACAATATCAAGGGCTATCAGGAGAACTTAAACACTCTTTATTATTATTATTATTTCTTATTTGTTTCCAGTAGCGCCAAGATACGATTGGCAATTTCCAAACAACAAGGTGGCACAATCCCTGCCCCAAGAAACATACAATCGAACGGCACAAAGACACTTTAGGTAGGAATTCCTCCATTTATCTGCCTGCTGCTACACACAGACATCATGGTAGGAATCTACTATAGACCACCAAATCAGGAAGAGGAGGTGGATGAAGCATTTTCAGAACAAACAGAAATATATAAAAAACACAAAATCTGGTAGTAATGGGGGCCTTTTACTACCCAGACATGTTTTTCCCATATTACAGAAAATATCCGCTAACTTCTTAGAATCCATTGAGGACAACTTCTTCTATCAGAAAGTGGAAGTAGCCGTCAGGGGGATAGCCATTTGGACTTGATTCTGACCAACGGGGATGAATTGGTTGCTAATCTGAAGCTGGAAGACCATCTGAGTGAAAGCAATCATGAAATGATGACTTCATGATTCTAAGGAAAGGAAGGAGTAAGAGCAGCAGAATAAGGACAATAGACTTCAAAAAGACAGACCTTAACAAACTCAGAGAACAGGTAGGTAAGGTCCCATAGCAGTTTCTCATGGACACAATATTAAAGGCACAACTGCGAACTATTTCAGTGCAAAGGAAACATAGGGAGGATAGTAAGAAGCCAATATGACTCCATCAGGAGCTCTCTAATGACCTGAAAATAAAAAAGGAGTTCTACAAAAAATGGAAACCTTTCCAAATAGCTAAGGAGAAGTACAAAAGAATAGCACAAGCATGAAGGGGCAAAATCGGAAAGGCTAAGGAAAAAAAATGAGTTACAGCTAACAAGGGACAAAAAAGGCAATCAGAAGAGGTTCTCAATCTTTCCAGACTACTGAACCCCTTTCAGGAGGCTGATTTGTCTTGTCTACCCCAAGTTTCATCTCACTTAAAAACTATTACTGAAAACTTGCTTACTTTCTCATTTTTACCATATATTATAAAATAAACCACAACCCCCAGGTTGGGAAACACTGATATAGTATACAATGTAGCATAAACAAGTCATTCTCTGTATGAAATTTTAGTTTGTACTGACTTTGCTAGTGCTTTTCATGTAGCCTGTTGTAAAACTAGGCAAATATCTAAATGAGTTGACATACCCCGTGGAAGACCTCTGTGTACTCCTGGCTGAGAACCACTGACTTAGATAATGGAGTGTAGAGTATGCTTAGAAAATTTGTAGATGACACCACCTCCGAGGGGCTGCTAGCACTTTGGAGGACAGGATCAGAATTTAAAATAACCTTGACAAATTTGAGAATGGGTCTGAAATCAACAAGATTAAATTCAAGAGAGACAAGCACAAAGTACTACACTTAAGGAAAAAAATCAAATGCACAACTACAAAATGGGGAATAAATGGCTAGGTGGTAGTACTACTAAAAAGCATCTCGGGGTTACAGTCAGTGTTCCTTCTAATTTTTCCCACGCATGTGTGGAATGAATTTTGTTACATGCACCAATATGTGGGGTGACATATGATACATCATCACCTCCATATTGGTGCACGTAACAAAATTCATGTGGCGGGGGTGAGGCCGAGGGGTTCGGAGTGTGGGAGGGGGCTCAGGGCTGGAGCAGAGGGTTGGAGTGTGGAGGGAGGTGAGGGCTTCAGCTGGGACTGTGGGCTCGGGCTGGGGGGGGGGGGGGGGAGAGAACTCCCCTCGGCTCTCTGTCCCCCAGAGCAGCACCTGGGCAGGCAGGGAGTGGGGGGGGAGAACAAGACAACTGAGGGGGGATCTGACAACAGTACTCAAATATGGTAAGGGCTGTTATAAAGAGCACTGTGATCAATTGTTCTCCATTTTCACTGAATGTAGGACGCTGCAGATTGAGCCCATTACGTCGTAAGGGAGATTTAGGTTAAATATTAGGAAAAAACTTTTTAACTATAAGGGTAGCTAACTCTGGCATCCAATGGAGGCTGTAGAATCCCCACCATTGGAAGACTTTAAGGAAACACTGGAGAAACACCTATCAGGGATGGTCTAGGTGTATGTGGTCCTCCCTCAGCAGAGGGGGCTGGACTTTGTGACTTTTTGAGATCCCTTCCAAACCTATGATAGCTATGTTGTTTTGTATAGTAACCCCTACTCTTCACCTATATTCGCAACATCTCTGTTACATGTTAAAGTGATAGAAAAATATGCAAAACTAACATCTGCATTATGGAAAAAAAAATCAAATAAATCATACGTGAATTTTAAGAGAGGTTCCATTCCGTGCCCAGGGAATTCGTTTAAAATCTCCATTGCTGTTACATAGCCAACAGATGGGATTCCTTCAGTGTAATCACTTCCAAGCAAATAGGCCAAATTAATTAACTTGCTTCTGTCTAACCCTGCAAGACAGAAAACGTAAACCAGACATTATTCTATGAATTTAAGCTCTGTTCTCCCACAGACAACAGTAGTACATTATCTGAAAATAAAAACAGTAACAGGAAAAAGCACAGGCATTGACAGAGATCAAAGCTACTCTAATTCAAGGTCAGGGCTTGCTTTATATTCTAGACCAATCTCAAAACATTACTGCTGGTCCAACTACTAGTGATTGCTTTAAGGTACTGTATCTGACGACCCCTTAGAGTCAAAATTAAATGCTGTTTGGAACCCTGGGGACTTCATTAATTTTTGGCCTATAAGTTATTTTACATCTAAAAAAAAAGAAAATCTACATCTCACCCCATCTTCAATTCTGACCTAAGTTTAGTGGCTTTGATATCAGGAATTCAGAGACAGAACCACTGCTGCACACAACCTTCTGAAGTCTGGAATCACAGTATTCAAATGGCTTAAAAGCAGTGGTTCTCAAACTGTGTGGTCTATGCTCCCTGGCTGGAGGCTGATCACACTGTGTTGACAGGACACAGGGTGATGATGTTCATTGTTTCAAGTTGTACCTACAGGCCTCCAGGCTCTTTTGAAAGAGCTGGAAAGGAAGAGGAGACATCAACCTAGCTGCCACTACTAGGAATTGGTGTTACAAGAGGACAAAAAACCAGAACCACTCCTCAGGGACTGGATCCACCAGCTTACTCCAGAAATTACTTCAATGGAGAGGGAGAAGCTTGCATGCTAGGATGGTCCATCAGGCAGCTAATCAGAATGTCTGTATGTCCATGGCAGCAGGAGAGAAAGACCACTGGGCATAGGGAACCATGTGCAAAAGAAAGGAAGAACAGGAAAGATGGAAGACAAAGTGAAACTGATTTTTTCCCAAAACAGACCAAAACCAAATATATCACAGATAGTTAAAAACACAAATAATTTCATAACACTTCTTTTCCACATAAGAAATTGCAACCGCTGCCACAAAGGCACAAATAAAGTAATCAGAGAAAAAAAGATACTTGCTTTTATACACTCACTCCCCAACTTTGATATTTTCTCCACTTATCTTCTTGAACTGCTGTAGCTACTTTTGCATATAGAAATAAGAAGTGCTTATCACATCAGCCACAGAACTGGACAAAAACGACTTTGCTGGGAGAACGAACCACAGCAGGAAAACAAATACTTTTTCATTACGTAAAACTATTGAACAGTTTTGCATGATCAATAATCAATAACCACATTAAAATATTGTTTCAAATCTCTAAACTAGGAGTTTTGTGGTAGTTTTGCCAAAGTAATGGCTGAGGAAGAGCTGGAATGCGCAGAAATTGTTCCTAATAAATTAGGTGACAGACACACAAGTTTAAAAGTTCAACAGTTTACTATGTACCATGGCTAAAAATTTTGTTCAGACCAGTATATTTTTTTCATCTTTGATCTTCCACAAGCAATCAGAAGGAAAAATACTACCATGGGTTAATTAGTCATTGAAAATCTTTCTACAGATTTAATCCATTCGATCCCTTTATAACACGTTTGTCAGTATGTCCAAAAGAAACTTCTATTTAGAGAAGTTTGTAATCTGCCTATATAAATTTGCTCTGACTAAAACTATGCATAGTTTTTTCTCTTCTTCACACAAAATGTGAATGTTTACCAGACTTGCATTTCATACATGGTAGCCACTATTACTATCATAATTAGGTCACTAGCCTAGCCCCAGTGCAACAGATGGCTGTGAATTCAGAGAGATTACTTCATGCACAAACCAACATAGAAGGCTGGTATCTGATGTGACTTTGATCTCTCTCAATAAAAGTTATCACCACAATAGTTCTATGATTCTGAATGAGTTCCAGTATTAAAAAGATACAGAACAAAACTGCCTATCAAAAACAAGCAAACAAACAATATATCCAGCATATAAGCACTTGCACCTTACCTAGCTGGTTTTGAATATCCACATATTGGTAATATTCCACATACTTGTTTTGACTGAAGAAATTTTTATAAACATGCCGCGCTCCAAATAGCCAAATATCACTATCATCAGTGATTGTCCCAGAGGTCTGATCAGTAAGGTCCAAGACAGCACACTGAGCCTCTGCCTCCATGGGTGCTTCAATGTAAGGAACACCAAACAGACGGAGAAGTTCCTACAGAAAGTGGGGAGTGGGGTTAATACTTCATCGAAAAGGATAGCTCATAATACATGCCTGCTTGACTCAAAAATGAGCTTGGTTCACATTTGGATAATGTTTACCCATTCATAACAAACCTAAACAATTTACATTAAAAAGTCAAGGGGCCAAATCCTACTCATCTTACTTACAAGTACTGCCAGGAAAGTCAACTGTTACACTATCACCTTACTTTGGTGGAGTTTGAGGATTTTAGTTTCTGACCCACTCGAGCCTATCATGGTTTTCTGTTTTCTAGGGGAGGTAGCCCTGAGATGTGATGATGGGGTCTGGAATGGCAGTTCCCCCCAGCCCCATCCTGTACCCAGGATGAGCTGAACTGGAGAGGAGATGGGGGCAGGGACATTCCCCCCCATCCCCAACTCTCCAACCGAGATGCCATGCTGACCTCATAAGGAAGAAAGCAGCCTTCACCAGTTGGATAGGTCATTATTTTGTCAGCTATACTCTCTTTGGATTCAGTTCCATAAGCCTAACACAAGTAGCACCTTATTCTGTGAGGAAACCCATTACTATGAAATGTGAGCTAGTATGGAAGACGACAGTTCAAGAATATAAGGTGTCAGGCAAGCTGTATTTAATGCAAATATGTGCAGGAAGAGGAACAGAACATGCTTCAAAAGCATGTGTCCATTGGCTCTCTTTTTAATAGCATATATCTAGGAACAAAGTATCTCAGTCCAGAGACAAAAGAACAGAAATCAGTTTTTATAGATTTTGAGGTCTTATCTGATCATCTAGTTTTATCTCCTGCAAAACACATGCCATCAAATTTCCCATAGTAACTTCTGCAACAAACCCACAACTTCTGGTTGAATTAGAGAATACCTTTCAGAAAGACATAGCCTTGATTTAAATACTTCAAGTGACAGAGAATCCACCACATTCCTTTCTAAGTTGTTCTAATGCTTAGTTATCCTCACTGTTAAAAATTTGTGCTTTATTTCCAGGCTGAATTTGTCCACTTTCAGCTTCAAGCCACTGGATCTAGTTATAGCTGTTAGCAGATGGCTGTTTAATCTAGCAATCAGAAATCTTTTCCCCCATGTCGGTACTTGTAGACCATGATCAAGTCACCCCTTAACTGTCTCTTGGATAAGGCTAAATGCTCCCTCTAAATTTTTCTCCCTGTACTTCTCAATTCCAAAATGACTGAAAACTGGCTATGTAGATCACTAACTTAGAGGGAAAAACACTCAGCCTCCTTAACTGTTTAATTCATACAAGTTACTCATATAAATATTCTTTTAGGAAAGCGAAGTATTACAAGGCTTGAAAAATCCTCAAGCATGTTTGGCAGCAGACACCACTTTAATTCTGGTGTTCCCAATTTACAGATTCCAGGAAGTTCGCTTTGGACTTCACTATTGCAATGATTTAACGTGAAGGGTGCTCCACTTCTATAAATGAGGTAGCATAAAACAGGAAGACAAACAGTTGTGGGCAAGTAATTTTATAGCCGTACTTCTGACCATGAAAGGTAGCAATAACATCCTAGAATTTTTGTATTTGTTTTTCTAAAAATTCTTATTGTAATATGAATGAATGGTATGTTTACATGGGTCAGCGGTGCGGATAAATCATCTTTAGAAAGGTGTTCTGATAAACAAGTTTCTGACTGGACTCTGCTAAATATGCTGTTGTGTGACATAACTCCAGTTATGTACCATGTACACTCTCTACACAATTTCTTCCTCCCCATCTATGGAAACTACTCTTCCCCATTTCTTCTCCTTCCTCCCTTCTGCAAAGCATGGTTGTGCATTAGTGGATCATTTTATAGTATTTTCAGGCTGATATTATTCATTTTTATCTAATGCTACCAAAGGTATAATGTTTACATTTTTTAGGACTGTTGATTAAATCAGAGTTAACTCATGAGATTAACTCAAAAAAATTAACTGTAATTAATCGCAGTTTTAATCGCACTGTTAAACAATAGAATATCAATTGTAATTTTGGATATTTTTCTACATTTTTATAATATATATTGTATTCTTTGTTGTAATTGACATCAAAGTGTACATTATTTTTCATTACAAATATTTGCACTGCAAAAACGATAAAGAGAAATCGTTTTTTCAATTTGCCTCATACAAGAACTGCACTCAAAAACAAAATGTAGAACTTCAGATCCTACCAATCCACTCAGTCCTACTTCTTCTTCTGCCAATCGCTAAGACAAACAAGTTTGTTTACATTTACAGAGATAATGCTGCCCTCTTCTTATTTACAATGTCACCTGAATGTGAGAACAGGCATTTGCATGGCACTTTTGTAGCTGGAATTGCAAGGTATTTACATGCCCCTACATGCTTCAGCCACCGTTCCAGAAGAAAATGCTTCCATGCTGAGACGCTTGTTAAAAAAATAATGCGTTAATTAAATTTGTGACTGAACTCCTTGGGGGAGAATCGTACATCCTCTGCTCCGTTTTGTCTGCATTCTGCCATATACTTCATGTTATAGCAGTCTCAGATGATGACCCAGCACATGTTCTTCATTTTAAGAAGACTTTCACTGCAGATTTGACAAAATGCAAAGAAGAAACCAATGTGAGATTTCTAAAGACAGCCACAGCACTAAACTCAAGGTTTAAGAATCTGAAGTGCCTTCGTGTGGAGCATGCTTTCAGAAGTCTTAAAACAGCAAAACTCCACTGTAGAAACTACAGAACCTGAACCACCAAAAAAGAAAATCAACCTTCTGCTGGTGGCATTTGACTCAGATCATGAAAATGAGCATGCATCGGTCCACACTGCATTGGATTGTTATCGAGCAGAATCTATCATCAGCATGGACGCATGTCCCCTGGATGGTGGTTGAAGCATGAAGGGACATATGAATCTTGAGTGCATCTAGCATGTAAATATCTTGCGACGCCAGCTACAATGGTGCCACAAGACCGCCGGTTCTCACTTTCAGGTGACATTGTAAACAAGAAGAGGGCAGCATTATCTCCTGCAAATGTAAACAAACTTGTTTGTCTGAGCGATTGGCTGAACAAGAAGTAGGACTAAGTAGACTTGCAGGCTCTTAAATTCTACAGTTTTATTTTTGAATGCAGTTATTTTTGTACACAATTCTACATTTGTAAGTTCAACTTTCATGATAAAGAAATTGCACTACAGTACTTGTATAGGATGAATTGAAAAATAATATTTCTTTTGTTTTTTTACAGTGCAAATACTTGTAATCAAAAATAAATATAAAGTAAGCACAGTACACTTTGTATTCTGTTGTAATTTAACTATATTTAAAAAAGTAGAAAACATCCAAAAATAAATATTTAAACAAACAGTATTCCGTTATTGTTTAACAATGCGACTCATCGCACAATTAATTTTTTTCAGAGAACCCTTGTTTGAACTGTGTTCTGTACCCTGTTAAAGTCTGTTTCAAAACAATTTGCTCAGCTTTACTGTTAAATTAGGCTCAGTTACAGCATTAATAGTCTGTCTGCCACCGTGTGGCTTTCAATATCTCAAGCTCTTACCAAAGTACTATTAATTGGTGGGGGGTTAAAATCACATCATGGTGAAAGTATGAGGAAGCCTTTTAATCCGAGAAACTGGGACACAATGTATACCATATGAACGATCCTCCTTTTCCTCCAAAGAAAACCTGCAAATTAGTATTTTGGAACATAGTTTACAAATATTAGATCATTTATACCACCACTGTGTGTTATTTCATGGGGTGTCAAGTCAGTATAGTCTTTAATCAAAACCAGATACCTTTAAACCTATAAGTATTTAAATCAAGATAGGATCTCTTTCTAAAAGATATGCTATAGCTCTAACAAAAGTTATGGGTTTGATGCAGATATTACGGGGTGAGGCTCTTTGGCCAGTGGTATGCAGGAGGCCAGATAATAATCATAATGGTCCCTTCTGAACTTAAAAATCTACAGGAAACCTTAACTGACTACAGTTTACCGGCATTAAAATTAGAGTGATTCTATGTTATTGTGAGGGGGGAGGGGTTTCGCTCCCACCTGACTTTCCATATAAAATGATACAATGTTGTACAGGTAAAAAGTCGGGGGGGTAGCATTCAAGCATATTTTTCATTCGACTATGATAAACACGAAATCTAAGCCCCACAAAAGTGAAAATTCTGTAAGGATTCAAAAAAATACTATTGTGTAGATGTGCAGTAACCAGAGCCTGACACAGAGAGTACTTACACTTCCAAAAAATCAGCTACTAACATGACCTCAATTGGTAAGAAATGCAAAAAAATGAACACAGTCTGTAAAGCCTGATATAGCGCACCCAAGCATAATCCAAAAGACTTTTTTAGTTTTCATAGAATTATAGAAATGTAGGGCTGGAATGGACCTTGGGAAGTCCTGTGCTGATCATCCTTGATATGTGTTCTGATCTTAAAAACCTCCAACGATAGGGATTCCACAATCTCCCTTGGAAGCCTATACCAGAGCTTAACCACCTTTATAGTTAGAAAGGTTTTCCTAACATCTAACTTAAATCTTCCTTGGTGTAGATTAAGCCCATTACTTCTTGTCCTTCCTTCCGGGAGCTTGGAGAACAATTGTTTGTGTATATTTTCAAAAATTGTACATACAAGTTGCTGCATTTCACCTTATAAAGGCTTTTTAATTTCTATTCAATCTTATTGCTCCCTTCTCTTGCCCCACACTAAAAAATAGAAGCTTGATACTTGAAAAAAAAAAAAGGGAAGATATTTTCCCTTATTTATTCATGAAATATAAACTGTAACTGCGGAGTGTAACAGTAGTTATTTCAGGCATTTTGAATCTGAGACACATGTTCTTCTTCTAACACTCTCTCAAGTAGGCTGAGGAAAGAAAACAAGCTCATAAGTGAGAAAAGTGATCCAGAATTAAACATTGTAAATAGCGTTTGATATACTGTTTGACTTGCCAAGAGGTACAAACAGTGATTTTTATTTTTAATGTCAATATGACCTTCAATAAACATTACCTGACTTTCCAAGAACATCTGTCCTGTTACAGTGGCAGCAATACGTTCCTGCTGTTGTTTTTGAGCCTGAAGCATGTTTTGCTCAACAGAAAGGTTGTTCTCCAGAGCTTCCAATTCCTCCTGCATATTAAATAAAAGCAAAGTTTGGTCATACCAGAGAAGTATATATTGTTTATACATATATATGTGCTTGACTATCATTACAATAGGAGCCTGTGCACCACTAATTCACACAGATGCCTGTAAGTTTTCACACTCTCCTAATGAAGCACATCATAAAGATATAAATAGGTATGTTTTTCAGAAGAGCTGAGCGCTCATAGCTCCCGCTGACTTCATCTGGAGTTGTGGATGCTCAGCAACTCTGAAAAACCAGGCTCAATATATTCTGTACCTTTCAAGCAGACAAATGAACAAGACAGGGAAGCAGCCAGTAAGTTAAAGGAGGCACACAATAGCTCTGCCATAAGTGTCCATTCAATAGTGTCCTTTAGAAAAGCAATTTAACTGGAGTTTACTATTCACTCAATACAATTAACAAAAAACAAGTATCATTACCAAACTAATATCTTGCCACTCATTCACTGCACCTTCCCTGTCTTTTTTGGTTTCAGCATTCTGATGAATAGTCAGCTGCACTTCTTCAGCAGCGTCTTTAAGGAGGTTCTCTGTAGCCCCATCATCTCCTTCCTGCTCCAGTTCTGTAGCTGCTGCTTCAACAGCCAATGTCTCATCAGGTTCAGAGGGAGCATGTGATGTTTTAAATATTTCACCTGGAAACTCAGTGTCATTACTAATTTCACTGTCGACTTCAATAAAGCTACCTGCACAAGGGGGGGAGGAGGGGGAAGGAAAAAAAGCAGCACGATTTCTTCCTCATTAAAGGAAAAAAAATACCACACTCAACTCCTAAGATACATTAATGTTTGTTTGGTTTTTTATTTCCATCGGACACAATGCCATGCTCCAGGACTCCTCTGGGCAACCCCACTGTTAGATGTTGACATTTCCTCTCTATCACCACCTAAGAGCTTTTGCTGCTCTCTCAGTTTCTGTAGTAGCTTTTTTTGTTTCAGACTAGTGATGTCCTGAAAAGACAGAATTAAAATATTGATTGTCTGAACTGGCTTTACATTTCTTTATTTCCTTATAAGATTGATACTCATGTAGAATGTGAAAGTTTGAGTCTTTATAGTTAAAAGAAGACAGATTTTATCTTTGGAAATATCAGCAATTGGCCTTTTTTAATTCATCTAGCTTTTAATAATTTGTACTGAATTGATGAGAACTGCAGTTTTACTTTCCCTTCCACTCAGTGTAAAGTTTTCAGGATTAATGCTGATAGGAATATAAAAATAATACAGCTATAAAAATAAAGACGATGTGTGATTTACAAAATGTTAAGCTTTACACTAAAAGTTATTAATTTATTTATTTTAGAGGGAAAAAAGGAACTAGGAAGGGATGTGTGCACATGAGTACATATCTATGTTTTTCCTATTGCATAGAACTCCTCCCCCCCCCCGAAAAAAAAATCATGTTAAATAGTTTCTATATGGTATGACTTCTGCAGAGCTTTTTTAAATAAATAAAATATATTTGTGCAATCCTGATTGAGTGAAACTATGGTGGGGAAAACAGATTTTGGTTTATGTATGGCATTAGTCCTACCCTCTCTCACAGGAACCTCTGTCTTTTTAGGGGTGGGTTTAAACAGAAGAGATCACTTATTACTTTGCATAATCTTATTTTTAAATGAGTAATAAAATTGCGACAGCATGTAATGAAAACACAGAAGATTAAACATTTTATTTTCAGTTTTAAAGGCATTGTATAGGAAAACAAAACAGTTCAAAAATAAATTCTAGTGTAGGTTTTTAATGACAGAAGCAAGCATCTGAATGGCCTCATCCCTCAATGAATTTCTCTCTCCACCACTTCTATGAGAAGAGGGAAGCTTGCACCCGTGAATCCAGCATACATGAGGGGAATACCACCCTTCCTGCTGACCTCACATTTCTATGGGTAGGGAAGGGCAGAAAGTGTCTGCCAGATTCTACAGCAAGCCCACATATCAAAGTAGCTTAAATTAATTTATGCTGCTTACCTCTCTGCCATGGAATTTCCTTACCCCTTCAAGGTGGGATCCAGGTGCAGCAGACAGGTAATAACCTAGCAGTATGACTTTTTGCATGAGCCAAATGGTTCATGGAGCTAGGGGAGCTAAAGTGGCTGACCATTAATACAGTTTGCTCAAATTTGGGAAAAGAATGGTAAACTTTGCCTTCCTCGCCAAAGAATTATATGAAACTACAAGCTGAAACTACAGGTTTCAATGACCACGAATAGCAACAATGTTCACAGGGGAGAATCTAGCCCAAAGAATGTTTATTATATAGTGGTGTGGGTGCATCATTACCAGTTTAAAGGTCAACCTTTCTAAATCCTCTAAAATTGACACACAGTCAGTTTTCCTTGAAATTTGGTGTCTCTCAGAAGGTTCCAGGATTAATGGCACAAATTTGGAGTCATCCAAGCCAGGGGTTCTGGAGATAAGCCCTCTCAAAAAATGACATTTTAAAAAAAGATTTCTAGGTGGGTTTTTTTTTTTTTGCCCAGAGCTAGAAATGAACCTATTGATGAGATATGGGTCAAAAATGGTTTCACACTGCAGCATTTTACCCAAGGCAGGACATGGTACCCACTAAATCTTTACGGGACCCAAATAGCAAACAACATTAAAGAAAATATACATGTTTACACTGTACACGTACCAATACAGAGAAAGAACTAGAGTATTTTTTATGCCTTAAAGATCAAATCTTGTAAGTGGGCTAACATCCAAATGTTTAGGTGGATTGCTTTGAAAATTGGTGTGCTTCACAAAGGTTCAGAGTAGCAATAGTGAACCAAATTTGGGCTCATGACCAAAGGATTCCTCAGTAACAGCCCCCTCGTTTAAAAAAAAAAATCTGTTTTCTTCTGTTGCCTTGGTCTGTTAGCCCTGGTCTACACTAGGACTTTAGGTAAAATTTAGCAGTGTTAAATCGATGTAAACCTGCACCCGTCCACATGATGAAGCCCTTTTTTTCAACTTAAAGGGCTCTTAAAATCGATTTCCCTACTCCACCCGACAAGTGGATTAGCGCTTAAACCGGCCTTGCTGGGTCGAATTTGGGGTACTGTGGACACAATTCTACGGTACTGACGTCCGGGAGCTATCCCAGGGTGCTCCATTGTGACTGCTCTGGACAGCACTCTCAACTCAGATGCACTGGCCAGGTAGACAGGAAAAGAACCGCGAACTTTTGAATCTCATTTCCTGTTTGGCCAGCGTAGCAAGCTGCAGGTGACCATGCAGAGCTCATCGGCAGAGGTGACCATGCAGAGCTCATCAGCAGAGGTGACCATGATGGAGTCCCAGAATCGCAAAAGAGCTCCAGCATGGACTGAACTGGAGGTACGGGATCTGATCGCTGTACGGTGAGAGGAATCCGTGCTATCAGAACTCTGTTCCAGTTTTCAAAATGCCAAAACCTTTGTCAAAATCTCCCAGGGCATGAAGGACGGAGGCCATAACAGGGACCCGAAGCAGTGCCGCGTGAAACTGAAGGAGCTGAGGCAAGCCTACCAGAAAACCAGAGAGGCGAATGGCTGCTCCAAGTCAGAGCCCCAAACATGCCGCTTCTATGATGAGCTGCATGCCATTTTAGGGGGTTCAGCCACCACTACCCCAGCTGTGTTGTTTGACTCCTTCAATGGAGATGGAGCCAACATGGAAGCAGGTTTTGGGGACGAAGAGGATGATGAGGTTGTAGATAGCTCACAGCAAGCAAGCGGAGAAAGCGGTTTTCCCGACAGCCAGGAACTGTTTCTCACCCTGGACCTGGATCCAGTACCCCGCAAACCCACCCAAGGCTGCCTCCTGGACCCAGCAGGTGGAGAAGCGACCTCCGGTGAGTGTACCTTTTAAAATACTATACATGGTTTAAAAGCAAGCATGCGAAAGGATTAATTTGCCCTGGCATTCGCGACTCTCCTGGATGTACTCCCAAAGCCTTTGCAAAAGGTTTCTGGGGAGGGCAGCCTTATTGCGTCCTCCATGGTAGGACACTTTACCACTCCAGGCCAGTAACACGTACATGGGAATCATTGTACAACAAAGCATTGCAGTGTATGTTTGCTGGCGTTCAAACAACATCCGTTCTTTATCTCTCTGTGTTATCCTCAGGAGAGTGAGATATCATTCATGGTCACCTGGTTGAAATAAGAGTGCTTTTCTTCAGGGGACACTCAGAAGTGCCCGTTCCTGCTGGGCTGTTTGCCTATGGCTGAACAGAAACGTTTCCCGCTGTTAGCCACGGGGAGGGGGGAGGGTTGAGGGGGTAGCCACGCGGTGGGGGGAGGCAAAATGTGACCTTGTAACGAAAGCACATGTGCTACGTATGTAATGTTAACAGCACGGTTTACCCTGAAAGAGTGTAGCCACTGTTTTATAAAATGTGTCTTTTTAAATACCACTGTCCCTTTTTTTTTTCCCTCCACCAGCTGCATGTGTTTCAATGATCACAGGATCTTCTACTTCCCAGAGGCTAGTGAAGATTAGAAAGAAAAAAAAAATGCACTCGTGATGAAATGTTCTCTGAGCTCATGCTGTCCTCCCACACTGACAGAGCACAGACGAATACGTAGAAGCAAATAATGTCAGAGCGCAGGAAAGCACAAAATGACCGGGAGGAGAGGTGGCGGGGCTGAAGACAGGGCTGAAGCTCAAATGTGGCGGCAGGGTGATGAGAGGAGGCAGCATTCAAGGCTGAGGCTGCTGGAGGATCAAACCAGTATGCTCCAGTGTATGGTTGAGCTGCAGCAAAGGCAGCTGGAGCAGACTGCCACTGCTGCCCCTCTGTAACCAACCGCCCTCCTCCCCAAGTTCCATAGCCTCCACACCCAGACGCCCAAGCACGCGGTGAGGGGGCCACCGGCCAACCAGCCACTCCACCACAGAGGATTGCCCAAAAAACAGAAGGCTGGCATTCAATAAATTTTAAAGTTGTAAACTTTTAAAGTGCTGTGCTTAAAGTGCTGTGTGGCATTTTCCTTCCCTCCTCCACCACCCCTCCTGGGCTACCTTAGTAGTCATCCCCCTATTTGCGTGATGAATGAATAAAGAATGCATGAATGCGAAGCAACAATGACTTTATTGCCTCTGCAAGCGGTGATCGAAGGGAGGAGGGGAGGGTGGTTAGCTTACAGGGAAGTAGAGTGAACCAAGGGGCGGGGGGTTTCCATCAAGGAGAAACAAACAGAACTTGCACACTGTAGCCTGGCCAGTCATGAAACTGGTTTTCAAAGCTTCTCTGATGCGTACCGCGCCCTCCTGTGCTCTTCTAACAGCCCTGGTGTCTGGCTGCGCGTAACCAGCAGCCAGGCGATTTGCCTCAACGTCTCCCCCTTACTCTCACAGATATTGTGAAGCGCACAGCAAGCAGTAATAACAGTGGGAATATTGGTTTCGCTGAGGTCTAAGCGAGTCAGTAAACTGCACCAGCGCGCCTTTAAACGTCCAAATGCACATTCTACCACCATTCTGCACTTGCTCAGCCTGTAGTTGGACAGCTCCTGACTACTGTCCAGGCTGCCTGTGTACGGCTTCATGAGCCATGGCATTAAGGGGTAGGTTGGGTCCCCAAGGATAACTATAGGCATTTCAACATCCCCAACGGTTATTTTCTGGTCTGGGAATAAAGTCCCTTCCTGCAGCTTTTGAAACAGACCAGAGTTTCTGAAGATGCGAGCGTCATGTACCTTTCCCGGCCATCCCACA